AGGACGAGGTTGAGGCGGAGGCTGATATCCGGTGACAATTCGTTCCATCGCTTCCAGCCGGGCTCTTGTTTCTTCCTCCTTCCGTTGCTGCTCTAATGCTCGCTGCTCCTCCTCCGATTCTCGCTGCAATTGGGCGATGTGTGGATCCTCTCCCCGCCTTGATCGAGAAGATGAAGCTCCGCTGCCGCTGCGGTCGTACAAAATCCGTTGCCCCTCAGCCCCCAAGCACGGAACCCGACTCTTGTACACCCCAACTGCATCAATGATCGCATCATCTTCTATATCAGAATCGATCTCATCCTCTTGAGTCAAGTCTAATTCCGCCCGCTTCTTCTCAACATTTGTGTTATACTTCATCTACATGTACAAAAATTATGGAAATGTTATTTACTTCGATTTGAAATGTTATTAAATTATAAAATTGATGTTACTTACTTCGATTTCAGCGAGGTGGGGTGGCAGATCGGTTTCTGACTCATCGTCGTGCTTCGTCCAACAGTGTTTGATGACCTTGAGGATCGAGACCCTTTTCTTCTCAGGCCCCGCCTACATGGTTCCAAAAAGGCTTAAAATTCATAAATAAATGTAAAAAGTGAAGGGTTAAAATGGTGTAAGGTTTATTTGAATAAGACTTACAAGAGCTTCCTTATGTTTACTATGAGGTTTGCGGCCCCCGTGCCATTGTATCATTAATGCCTTCTCGGGCATCCGATTTTTCTTCTCGGCTTCGCTTCTAGCCAAGAAGGTCGGATCCGAAGACCAGTGGCGGACGAGGTTTTCCCACACCTCATCCGAACACCATCCAGGCCTTACCCCACTGGCTCGGGCACGCTTCAAAGTGGGACGGAGTCATTTTGAAATTCTGGCGTTATACGCCCTTAGAATAGCGGGGCCTTGTTCTTCAGTCCAGCGAAACCGGCCCTTTATGAAAAAAATAAATTAATTTATCATTTGTCAAATTTTAAGTCACTACAATTACGGAGGGAACATTCATTTTTTTACCATACCGCATGTTCATCATACATCCAAATTCTATTTTGTCTATACATTATGCCTGAATATTATAATAAAAAAATTATACAGGTTTAAAACTCCAAATTATAAACATTACCAACATATGTGGAGTATTATTAATATATTAAATTTCACTAATTAAATTTCAATGGAATTAATTCACTAGAACTAATATGTTAATATAATGTCATTAATCATTTCAATTATTAACTAATAACCAATATTATGATTTCAACACTAAATACACTAAATTATTACGTTAATGACATTAATTAATTCATAAACATTAACAACAATTTTTTATGTGTAGAAACATTTATATATTAAATTTCACTACAATTCGCTAAAATTAACTAACGTCCAATAATTAATATTATTAAACTAGAAACAATACGTTAATGGCATTTAATCCACAATACTAAAATTATCAACATCTTAATCATATTAATAATACACATTTAACAATTCACTAAATTAAATAATATTAGCAAATTCAATAATTTGAGCATATATATAAACTCATTTGAATTAAATAATACTTAAATTTAAATATTATAAAAAATCTAACTAATTTACGTAATTTTAACTAAATACAAATCGATTAACATTATGCTTAAATTACACCTACGTTTAACTAATTTTAACTAATTTATTTCGTTAATTAATTAAAAACCTTTAGCTAATTTTTGAATTAACTAATATTTAAATTTAACTAATATTATTATAAATTTAACTAATTTAGCTAATTATTTTAACTTAATGCGTCAGTACGATTAAACCTACGTTTAACTAACTAATTTTTCACTAAATTAAATGAAATTTACATAATTCGTTACTTAATTAATACTCTCTCTAATTTGACAGTTTATTACACTTAAAATGAACCAATTAACTAATTCATACAAAAAAAATGTAGGTCAAATTACATACCTTATCCGCATAAACAAGGACAATGATATGAGATGACTTGATTACATCCTTCAATTCAACCTTTCAAACATTTGTGTGTTTCTGTTGGATGAATCTGTTGGATGAATCAGTTGCTGCATATATAAAACATTTAGTCACGGACGTAGTCACGGATTTGTCCGTGACTACTTTAATTCGTACAAATTACCGGTACATATTAACTTTGGAGCGTTGGAAAATTAAATTTCGAATGTAGTCACGGAATTAGTCACGAATGTGTCCGTGAGTAAGTCCTAGTTTGAAAAAATCCCGTCGGAAGCACTATGACGATTTAGGTTTAAGTTTAGTCACGGAATTAGTCACGGAAAAGCTGTGACTAATTTCAAATTTTAAAAATAACCCACGGGAGGCAAAATTGGGTTGGCCAGACCAGGTTTTTCACGGATACAATCCGTGACTACTTTTTTTTTGAATTCCGTGACTAGCCCGTGACTAGATCCGTGACAAACTTGTCACGGACCAAATCCGTGACTAGCGTCCGTGACTACATGCGTGTTTTTTTGTAGTGACTGTAAAAGAGCCGTCACTCGAAGTGGCGGTTTTTGTGTTATATAAGAGAAAACCCCCACTCGAATTATTTTTAACCCTGACAGTATTTTGGGAATTATTTTTAACACATCTGTATTTTGGCAATTATTTAGCAAAAACAAACAAAGTTTAGTCAACATTAGTATTATTAAATGGGTTCTGGTGACTATTTCAGAGTAGTTTTTTGGAACAAGTTTAAAGTAATAGCACTGAAACTGTTAAGAATGAGTACGTATTTTCGTCCCTAAAACTCCTTGAAATTCGGCCCTGGGTCACTACAAATTTTAATTTTATTTAAAAAACTCGAACAAAATAGTTTCAATTTTTTTTGTACTGGCTTAGTCGAGTGTATCATCAGGCTACGCCATTGACTATATTGCACGTCTTCGTATTCATGAATTATACTACCACAACCCTCCTAACATTGGGACAAGAGAGTAACGTGATTATTAAAAAAGTGGAATTATGTGGTTATTATTAAATTGATAAAACGTGAATAAAGTAAAAATGAATTGTAATCACCCAAATAGTTAAAAATGCTCGAATAATAAGACCTTACCAAATTAGATCATATAGATTAGACTAGTTTCGATCAGAACATACAAATTAGACAGAAAAAGTCATTCCAATAAAAAGCATTTTCAATAGAGTCCTTCCTAAAATTTAGAACTCCATATATGTAGATTAGGACTCAATAAATCTCCTGAGAGTATTCATGAGTAAATTTTGGACTTAATTAGCTTACTATGGAGTTATATTATGGAGTTAATCATTGATCTTTTAAAATATTCATGAATAAATTTTTATTTGTCACCAAAAATTGATGTGATTACAAATGATTACTATGGTACTAAAATGCAAGAAGGGACTTTAAACTTACACAGGAAACCTCAATAATAATTCCTTAATAACGATCTAATCTATTTATATATAAGAAAACAAATAGCTCATCTAAAGACAATTTTAACCTTAATGAAGCTTAGGTGTCTTTCTACCCACATTTTTCTCCTCTCATTCCTTAATGCCACATGGCATTTTTTTCTAAGCCGTTGCTATTGCTACTCACAAAGAATGAGACTGCTCTCTCTTCTTAAAAATCCAATTTTTTTTAAAGTGTTATAACTTTTTCATTTTTGCTCTAATGTTTCTAAAAAATATATCAAAATTCATAATTTTTTGTGATCTTTCATATGAGATCAATATTGAATATATAAAAATATAATTTCATTAATGTCCTCAATAATTATGTTTAAAATTGTTTATATTTAAATACTCCATTCGCTTCATAAAAGTTGGTCAAAATTGACTTCCACGTAGAATAATAAAATATGATTTGTGTAGTTGATATTTCTGTAGAGAAATGAGAAACAACTTTAACCACATATTTCTTCATTTATTTGGAAATGACAATGTTTTTTGAGACGACAAAAACCTGAAAGTTTGCAATGTTTTATGGGGCGAACGTAGTTTAAGAAAGTAGTAGGTTATTAAAAAAATGTTTTGCCCCGTTTATTATGCAATTTGTCTATCTACCAGTGTTAGAGAGCATTGCTCTAGTGTATATATTAATTTAAAGATACTTTAATGTTAATAAAAATAAAACAAAAATCAATTCTGAATGCATAATATTAACTTGGTATCTTTTGAGTAATATTTGGTCATGAAATTGGTATCATTTTCCCCTTCTGAATATGGGTCGTTTGTCTTTATATTTTTCATTGCGTAATTTTGACATGTTTATGTTTTTATAGGTTTTATTCATCTGACTCTTTAGGTGAAAATTGTCTAAAAGTACACTAAAACACACAACTTTTCTTCATTCAATAACACTTAATTATTTTACTCAATAAGATCATATATGCCATCTGAAATTTATGTTCAGTTCACCTTTCTAATTAAGAATATTTTCAATTGGAATCATTTTTTTGATCTCATTTATGAAAGTAAAAATTATATTTACTTTAGTGTATATATTAATTTAAAGATACTTTAATGTTAATAAAAATAAAACAAAAATCAATTCTGAATGCATAATATTAAATTGGTATCTTTTCAATAACATTTGGTCATGAAATTGGTATCATTTTCCCCTTCTGAATATGGGTCGTTTGTTTTTATATATTTCATTGCGTAATTTTGACATGTTTATGTTTTTATAGGTTTTATTCATCTGACTTTTTAGGTGAAAATTGTCTAAAAGTACACTAAAACACACCACTTTTCTTCATTCAATAACACTTAATTATTTTACTCAATAAGATCATACTTCCTTGTCCCAATTTGATTTGCAAAATTTCCCATTTTGGTTGTCCCAAAATGGTTTTCCACTTTCTATTTTAGATATATAAATAAGAGTAAAGTGAAAAATTTACCCTTACTTTTACTTTTTTCTCATAAGCTTAAAAGCATCTACTTTTATAAAGATGGACACAAGTGTAAAAAGAGTATCTACCATCCTCATTCATTTTAATTCATTTTTTATAAGATACGAGGGTGCTTATTCTTTTATTTCCAATTAGGGTTTTTCAGGTGGAAACATCTGCAATTTGATTTTGGTTGCAGAGAACTGCAGAATCTTTGAAGAAAAATTAGTTTAGGGATTAGGGACGGATGGGGAGCGGAGATGATCAGGCGTTTAGGGTGAATTTTAGCAGCGAAGGAGTGGCAAAGCTTAGGGAGCAAGTGCAGTTGAAGCTCATGGAGTTCATGGGAGACTACACTGACGATACACTAGTGGTATGATATCAATGACTAATTTATCTAGGGGTTTCAATAATTTTGCAGATATCGAACGTTAGAAAAACAAGGGGAGTAAGGACCGATGTTATGGTGTCACTATACATTATGGCTCATTATGATCCGATTCAGTTGACAATTGGATTTTGATACATTTTGTCTTGAGTGTCAGGCGCCCTTTTTCCTGAAATCGTAGTCAAGCTAGAACCTCCACAAATTCATTTTTTGTGCGTTTTGCCAGTTAATGACTTCAAATCCCTTTACTTTAATGCTTGTATGTTTTTAATAGTTATATGGAAAACAGTAGGTTTTTCCCCTTTGTTTATTGACACATACCTTCTACGTTGTGGATTGAGGTATATTACTGTGCCACTGTTTTTTAGTTATCTGTTCGAATGTTTTTGTACTTAAATCATGTAATTGTAGTTACACTGCTATTCTGCAAGGGGATCTGGATTTCCATCCCTATGTCGTGAAAGAAATAATTTCTATAAAGGCTACAATATGAACTATGAATTTGATTATTCCATTGATTTTATGCCTGTTTTTAGTTTTGTATTGTGATTAGCTCAGAATCCAGTTTGTCTAAGATAGGGGTTTCAGAGTTTGTTCATAGATAGGAATTTATGAGGAAGATTTGGATACAGTAGTTGTTTTTTCCATAGTGGAATATAAAAAGAAAACATTCTGTTGGTTATACTTGCATACTTTGGCATGATAGGTACCCGGGCTTCACTCCCTCCCTCCCACATTCCCTTTTCCCAAACCTTAAGCCTCTTGGAAACTGGTTATATCATTTTAATACCTGAGATACAAAAGTAGCAGTAAAGTTGTAAAGCACAGGAGAGTACCATACTGTTAACACAGTATTATCTCACTTCATTATGTAATTTTAATCCCTCATTTTCTCATCTATATTGTATCATAGGCTCATAGCTCATATTTGCTAGTTAATTTGCACTAGTAACTATGGTTTACACCATCACCACTTGGTTTAATCACACTCTTATACTTCTGGGAAGTGAGAACCCTAGCTACTGAAAGGTCAGTATCGTGATAGAAATCTAAGGAGAAAGAAAATTGAATTGAACATATTAATAATTGAATTGAATAAGTAAAGAAAGTATTGCCAGGAAAGTTAATTTGTATGGACATCTTACCAATATCCTATATGGTTTTGTAGTTTTGATTTGAATGTGATTATGTGAGTGAAGCCATACTTGAATTGCATGCCAATTGCCAATCTGTATTATTTCACATTATAGACCAGACAACCATAATTTCAATCATCAGAGTTTTAAAATGTTTGATCAAAATAGAATCTTATATTGGTACTGTATTCACCATTTATCTGGCTGTGTTTTGAACATAGTAGGAAGCACTGTCACAACAGAACATAGGTCAACCTTCTCAAAACTTTTACCCTATTGCATGTAGGACAATAGAAATGTTACACTGTTTGCTGGCATTGAATTAAGAGGTCTAATAGTTTTTTCTGTGCATTTGCAGGAATATGTCATGGTTTTGCTCAGAAATGGTAGGAATAAGGGAGAAGCCAAGAATGAATTGGATGTATTCCTCGGCGATGACAGCAACTCTTTTGTCTCTTGGTAATTTGGATTATATGTTTTTTAATTTTTAAATCGTAGTTTTCGGTGCTTTATATTAAGTGATCTCATTACTGGGTCTGCTATCCTGTTAAGGCTGTGGGATCATCTTGGCTCAAATTTAAATCTGTATGTACAACAACAAGAAGCCCCTCCTGACGTAGTGGTCAAAATAAGACCTTCGAGCGTGGAGCATGCTGGTAGTAATGAAATGCACCACGTGAAGTCTGTATCTGGCCAAGTGAAGCCTGATATGCCTAGATCCCGCCACAAAAGGGAATGGAAAGGGCTGCTGAGAGATACAGATGAACACCCAGCTGTAGTGGTGAATACTTCTTACCATGAGGTGGGAAATAAGCTTAAACTTGCTTCTGCAGTGCGGTCTGCATCTCCTGAGCCAGAAGTTCAGAGGAAAAGAAGTCAGCCTGAAGATGTTCCAACGAAGAAGGTATATTTATGAAGATGTAGATATAGTATACATCATTTTTTATGTAGTTTTGAAGCTGCTTTTGAATCATGTTGTGGCATCTTAAGGTCTTTTCGTCATGGGTTTTTATATTATTATGTCAAGCAAGAAAGCAACATAATAGTTATAAATCATATAACCAATATGAATGCACCGATGTTGTAGAAATTAGCTTAGGCAGTGCTTATGCTGCACTTAGGGAGTTAGGGGCGACGCCCCTTTGGTCGAAAGGAACAATGTAAAATTGGACATATAACCGTCCGCACGACCTATCAGTTCAAAGTGTCAAACCATTCCCTAGTTGCCCCCCACTAGTTGCTTGCTCATTTTCTTTCACGTTGCAATAATGACTAGAATCTTGATTTCAATTTTGTACTTCCTCCGTGGCTATTTTAAAAAATGCACATACATCAACGAAAATTGCAAAATTACCCCCATCCCTATAAAAGTTCAACATGGAATTCATTTTTATCTTTTCAAAGTTCGAAAGTATTTGATGTAGGAAAAACAAATTTGGGCAAATTTGGGAGGTTGATGCAAAATATGCATGAGCGCTTGAAATGACATTTATTTTGAGGAAAAAAGAATTGGCTAAAATGACAGTTAATTTGAGACGGAAGATGAAGTAGTAGTGTGAGCTTGCGTTCTTAGTAATACAAGCAAGGCTTCTTTTGTGTATTACATGAATGAAGTTAATGCTACACTTTGGTTCTGCATTAAAGTAAGGTGTCAAGTTAACTTAAAAGGGCTATTTGAGTTTGCACCCCATCTTTTAAGTCCTTTGAATTCGCTCCCCACAATCCCAAAAGTGGGGTGCAAAATCTAGTATTTAATCTATTCATGAGGTGCAAGTTTGAGATAAATTACCCAGTTTTGGAGATAGGGGGGTGTGAAGTCCAATTTCGAAGTAAACATGGGGTGCAGATTCAGGTTTTAGGAACTTTAATCCCCTTTACACGTCTTGTAACCTATAGAAAGATCATACTTGAGCATTGTAAAATAGCATTAACGTATGTGGTGCATGTTTTAGGAACAATAATCCACTTTACATGTCTTGTAAGTTGTAACCTATGGAAAGATGTTTTATCGTAGTTAAACATTGTAAATTTACATAAACTTTTAACAGTATTAGTTAATCATATACATATTGAAGAAGATTAAATGAAATTTGAACCCATCAGGAACTTTTACTCAGAGGTGGGTTTTTATCCTTTTCCTTCCGTTGTTGAGTAGTCTATGTCATTGCATACATTCTTATTTGCCCAATGAGTGCTAAATATTATGGATGGTATGAATATCTCTGATATTAAGTCTCACCAACTGATTTGTGCATCTAGTCTGATTGTTTTACTTATTATACTATTTGAAATGTTTTCGTTTTATATATCTTATAATAGGACGTATTTGAAATGCTAATCGTAGTTTTATAAAATCAGTGCTTCTGCTTAACTTTGCACTCTAGAGCTTAAAGCTGGAGGCAAAAACGGTGTTTAAAATTGCTGTTCAGTTTTAACTGCGGCTATTGTTGTAATATCTCACATTCTCACCCAAATAATATACCAAGAATTACTTTCTTTCACCAAATAAATTCTGCTACTTAAAACAGCACTCTTATGTTCAACACGACCTGTTTTTACCATTAAACACTTGCAGTATAAATGTATAATCACTAAATTAAATCACTTCTCTAAAGAACAAGGATATGCTAACACTGCCAATGTGGGTACTTTGCTATTTATGTATTTGAATTTTGATCTATGAAATATACAAGTACAATTTTGATATGAAAAGATTGACTTGTTATTCATGAAGTAGACTGACTTTGGCATCACTCTCTTTCATTTTTATAGAGAGAATCAATTTCTCAGGCAAACATTGCTGCTCCACGAAGATTACTGCAATTTGCAGTGCGAGATGCACTAGCTACTTCAAGGCAATCCAATCTTGGTTCAGAGCCATCACTAAAACGCCTTCGTTCCGTGGTTTCAACCCCTATGGGGGAATCATCAAATGAAGAACATCAACACATAATACGATCTATTGCAAGATTTACAAATCCCATGGACACTGCTACTAAGGCTGTTGCTGAAGCAGCCAAAGATGTGAAAAAATATAGATCCTCAGCTAATGTGTTCGATAGGCTTGGTAGTGACCCTGACATGTCACGCACTAGAGTCCAACATGAGTTGATGGAAGATATTCCTGAAGATGAAAAATATGTTGATGTAGCAGAAGTTCCAATCATTTGTCATCAAAGAAGTGATTTTAATGAACAATATGCTGACCTTAATGGCATCAGAGTTGTGGGTCAAGGGGCTATGGATATCTCCCACAACCGCTCATTTGTTGGAATTAGCAGTGAAAATTCGCTGTTGGTTGAACACATTGTGGGTGACGGCTCTGATGGAATAATGCACAACAAGTCACTGATGGATCGAGATCAGCCTATTTCCACGCATTCTGCTTTACGTACTGGGTCTTTGAATGTGAATACTTGGAAATCAGCTAAATATCAGGAGGCTAGGAATGAGATAATGGTAGCCAAATCTAACATGCCACTGATGAAAGAGAGTAGCTTTCCTGCAGCTGTTGATAATGGAAATGTAGGATTTGTATTTTATTTCCAATAATTCACATTTTCATTGCCCAGCATAAGTTTTATTTAACCAACCTGGCATGCTTCATATCATTGTCTCAGGTCAAGGCCAGTGCAGACACAGAAGCAGCCTCCCAAAAGATACAACCTGCAATTCCTGGTTAGTCTGGCTTACTACCTTGTTTCTGAGCTTATTTGTCATCTTATAAACATGTATATTTTCCCTAGAATTTGAGAGGCCCAGTGTGGTAAAAATCCGCCCCCTATGTTCTATTAAAATTTATGAGGGAAAACATTTCAATAGAAATGAAGGTGAGGGTGATTTGAACCTAAGACACTCCTTCATTACACTTGCAATTGCAAAATCAATTGATCAAGTGTAAAACCAACTATGCTACAACTCAATTCAACAAATATATTGACTCATGTATTGTTATAGAATAACTATTTAACTTAACTTGGTCACATTCCATGATTTGCATGTTGACTTTACAACATCTATCTTGTTATCGGGCATGGCGATACAAAAAATCTGAACTCATTGCCATCTCATGATTTTCCCATGCCTGCGGAATAACCCTATGGTGGTGACATATTTTTAATTTCATCTCCTTATCCCTTCTATTGAGTTTGCAATAGGAATCCCATCCAGTGTAAAACATAGCTAATATGCTCTGTGAATGAAGTTATAGTGTCCATTAGTTTTATACAATCAATTTCCTTTGTAAAGTTAATTTTAAGCCACTGACCCCAACCAGTTGGGACTTTAGAAGTTGGGATTAAGGTGCTGATACTGATAATGATATGGCATTGTACATAAAACTGAAATATTGGAGTCCTCTTTGCAATGGGCCCTGTGTGGCAGCACCACCTTACCCTTCCCTGTACTGCCTTTGGTATCCTTTACACTAGCTTTCAGTTTCATACTGGAATAACATTTGGTACTATTTTTTGCCTGTAACATCTCTATGGCATATGTGCAGGCTTATACTCCACTGCTACACACACAGAAGATTCTGATTCAAGGACAATATTTGTTAATAATGTAACTATTCAGTCCTCAATCAGAACACTTGCATGAGTTTGCATTTACCGTAATTCACTACTATTATATTTTCTTAATACTGCAAATGGATGTCAGGTTCACTTTGCTGCTACAAAGGACAGTCTTTCACGGCATTTCAATAAGTTTGGGGAGGTGCTTAAAGTAGATATTTTAACTGATGCAGGAACCGGACTAGCTAAAGGGTAAGACGCTTTTTACACGCACAATCTTTACATATTTACAACTGTTGTCTAAATTTTTAGCATATGAACAGGTCTGCTTATGTAGAGTTCATGAGAAAGGAATCGGCGGAGCACGCTTTATCACTTGATGGAACCTCATTCATGTCGCGTATCCTCAAGGTATGCTTTCAAAAGGCTTCCCCAGATGGATAGTTGAGTCATTATCATCATCACCATAATTTCAGTGGCATTTTTTTGTTTAATTTAGGTCACACTGTATGTCCATGCAAAGAAATAAAACCGGCAAAGATTTCGAGTCTGTTTGGGATGACTTTTTTTCAAGGCATAAGTGCTTTTTAGTTGAAGAGTAGTTCTTTCAGTTCACAAATAAATGTTTGGATGGGAAAATGAAAAAAAAGTACAGTGAAAAAACTTCTAGTGCATATTTGAGGCAGTCAGGAACATATTGGTTCTTAAAAAAATGTAGTGCTTACATAAGAAAGCATTTATACCATTAGTTATCCTAAGCAAGCTCTTATCCTGGATGGCATTTCTGTGCAAACTTTCTTACGATAGAATATGATGATAAAATTACCAAGCCGTCATCATAATTGTTGATTTCTGATATCATCAAAAATACTTTATATGTTCGGATGTTCCTTATTAAGTCTTTGTTTTTTTATAAAACGGATGAGAAATGAGTTAAGCATAAACATAGGGGCCTAACTATGTTTACTTTTTGGTTTTGAGGACTAAAGTCATTTTATTTTGGTTCTTAAATTCTTTTCATTGACATTTTTCTTACGCTAAAAATGCGATTGATTAAGTGATTTGTTTATAACTGGGTGATGATGACCCCTATATTACTGGATCCATGTCAGTCATTGAACAATTTTAGAAATTCTGGGTGAATTATAACGGTGTAAAGATAGTCAACAGCTTTATCTGATTTGATTTTCTACGAATCATTGAAATGCAGGTTGTGAGAAAGAGCTACGCGCCTCCAGAACCTGCTGGGTCAGCCATGTCATCATGGCCACGGATTGTGAGAGGGACCCGTTTTACTGCTTCCACTTTTGGCCGGAGCCCTTTCCTTAGCAGGGGTGGAATGCACAATGCATATCGGGCCCGCCTCACAATTAAACCGGGTGCAAGGAGCATGCAATGGAAACGTGATGCTCCGGCAGCTCCAAATCAAACCTCGGGCAATGCAATTCCCTCATTTACTCCTAGAAGTATGACATATGTTCGGACTGAAGTGAAAACAATTGGAAGTTCTGATGCTGCTGTGTAGTTAACGACACACCTTATAAATGTGGGAAAGGACCGAGACGCTGACTAAACAATGCTTGGCAAGGTTGAGTATGTTCTGTACAACGGTCAGTTACATGGGCAGTCGCAAGATGGGAGACAAATAATATTGGAAGGGTGAAAGGGAAGACGTAAGAGATTTTGAGGCTCTTTGATTGTGAAAAGAACAAGTGGTTGGAAGAAGTCACAGAGGCGCGTTTATGCCTCTACTGAGTTGTTTTTTATTATGTTTTTTGATGATCAACTTCCTATTGTTTTGGGATATGTGAATAGGACATTCGGATGGCTTTTTCCGTTGAATGGATTTTTGCTTATTTTTTTGTAAGCTATTGAAAAACAAAAGCAAGCTAAAAAGGTTAACGTTTTTTAGGTAGCAAGGAGTTGATCTGTTGATGCATGGTTTGTTCGCAAGTGTACCCTTTTAAAATTTTGTAGGTTTCTATGTTCAGAGCTTACTAAAAGAGATCAGTAATGACTCTCGAGCGTTAGTTTGTTTCAAAAGAGAACGGAAAATCAACTGAAGTCTATTTCGATGATGATTGATGAACATGGTTACATGGACAATAATAACGAGACCATTCATTATTTTGAAACCCGAGATCCTAATAGCAGGGCTAGGGATGGACTCGGGTCCGGGCCGTGTCCGGGTCGGGCCTAGGCCTGGGCGGGCCAGCGGTTCAGAAGTGGTGTACCCGGGACCGGTCCGGATAACCACTGGGTCCGGTCCGGGTCCAGGCCGGGCCGGGCCCATTATTATTATTTTTCCCTCTTCCTAATTAACCCCCTCCCACCCCCAACCCCCCAAATCACTCCAAATGGCCCAAAATACCCAGCCCAACCCGAAAATTTAAAAAAAATTGAAAAAAAAAATAGTTTTGACCCGAACTGGGTCGGGCCTTGTTTTGGGTGACCCGAGCCCGGACCGGAAAACCCATGGGTCGGGCCTACCCGGACCGGTCACTGACCGGGCCACCGGGCCGGGCCGGGCTGGAACAGTACCGGTCCTGGGCCGATTCTGGGTCGGGCCACCTGGCTTGAGTCCATCCATAAGCAGGGCCGGCTATATAGATTAGAAGGGCCGGTGAGAATCACGTAAAATAGGCTTTATGTTTAAATAAATATAACATCAATTAATAACCTTCAAAAAATAACTCGAACAACAAAATGTGAGATTGAGATATAATCATATTTTTTGAACATGAACAACAAAAATCTGTAAAAAACTAAAATCCAAAAGAAACGAATTAAATCATGAGCTAAGAGATAGGGTATTATCCAAAAAAACTAAGAAATGAGATAAAAAGTGAAGATTTTACATTTGGTTGGATTGGATGGCTAGAATAGTTGAATGACTCGAATCATTTGAGCACGTCATAAGCTAAGAGATAGGGTATTATCAACTACTTCGTATTTTGGAAAAGAATCACAAAGAGAATAGAATAATAGTAAAGGTACTCCAAAATTGTATCCCATTTTTACCCCTTCCCTAATTCTGTGGCCATACCATTTATGGCCACACAATAGAGATGAGGTAAAAATGAGGTACAATTTTAGGGTACATAGCTCGAGAGAGAGAACCGGTGAATAGTGCAAATGCCGACTTGACACGGAAATTGAAAGGGTTATTTAATATTCTCTGTCATTTAATTTAATATAGAAATCAGACGTATTATTTAATCATTCGTTTGCTTTTGTTTCAATTAGGCCGTTCGTTTTTTCCATTTAAAGTTGTTTCAATTTTAAAATTCAAATGATTTCTCTTATTATTAATATATTTATACACGAAACAATTACTTTATCCGTACATATAGAGTCTCGTTCTTGTCAGGAGCTTCTCATCGGAACCGTCGTGTGTAGTCAATCCTCCATTTGAAGCGCTTTCGAGTGGAAATTTTTTATGAAATTTTGTGATCATGTTCCATAAAATTAAGATTATTTGCACAAAATTTCAGCTTAAAATTAAATCGGGAAGCCAGTTAATTAAATTTTTGAAAAGTAGTGCGCCTTTTATATGTATACAAAGTGCAGTGTTCGGTAATAGTTTATTTAACTAACTTCCCGATTGAATTTTAATCTAAAATTTGATGGAAATGGTCAACACGTCATGGAATACATGTTCACTAAAATTCAAAAAAAAAAATTCTACTCAGAAGCAGCTAAAATGGAGTCCTCCGCACAATGATTCTGGTCAGGAGATAGTGATATAAACTGCCCTCAATGCGTATGTACTATATATATTTTATAAAAAGTGGGCCTAATAAGCAATATTTTTGTCGGGCATAAAATTGAATTTCATAGGCATGGACCTTGAACGGGCCCGGTCTCGAGTTTATTTTTAATGGTTGTAATTATTTGTAAAATACATTTTTTGTTTAATTTTTTGTTACGTATTTGACATGTATTTGTTAAATGAACTTCCAAAAGTAAAGGTAAGGGTATTATTTGTTGACATTTATTCCTTTAGCCCAAAGGTCCAACACAATATTTTTAATGGAAAGTTGATTTGGATTGTTTGGGTATAAATGATGAGTCCAGAAATATATGATGAAAACACAAGATCAAGATGTATTTGGTTCATATTATGATAGAATTCTTACAATACACTCAACAATAAGTTAAAGATTAAACTATTTTTCTTTAACGACTGTTACACTAACTGATTACAAGATCAGAGAATAAATGATATTCAATGCAATTTTCAGCTCCTATTACCGGAGTAAATGCAGGGGGAATTTATACTAACTGATCGGGCATTGGTGACATGTCAACTTTTGGTAGGTCAAGCCACCATGTCATGCCACTTGTTGCTGCCCACTTGCTCAGCCCATGCCTTGCATTTAATGCGCTTTCCGCTAGTTCCTAGATTTCCTTCCAACTCTTGTATAGTCCGACAGTTCCTCTGAAGAAATCATGCACATATTGGGACCATTCGTCTTGTGCCAGAGCTAGGGCGAGTGCCCATCATGATTCCGAGCTCGTCTACCGTTTTGTCTGAGCTATGGCCTGTACCGTTCGCCTGATCCCAGGGACGCTCGTCCACTTCCTTAATTCTACGGTTGGAGACCAAAGGCTTGACCCCCGTGGGGCTCATCCACACTTCGAGTCCTGCTCGGCCCACAAGGGAGGCCTTCCAACCTCCTCTAATTATAATACAAAAATAAATATAGTATAATTTAATATTTTAAGTCTTGGTCTATTCATGGTCATCTTATGAGGGTTACAAAGTGGACTACTGCATTTAGACCTAATGTAGAATCCCCGGTTGTACCAGTTTGGCTTTCTTTGGAGGGCTTGCCTATTCATTTACAAGAAAAAAGTGCTCTTTTTCAAATTGCATCTCTGATAGGAAAACCATTGAAGATTGACGCAGCTACTGCTACACTTTCTAGGCCAGCTGTGGCTAGAATTTGTGTAGAACTTGAGCTCACTAAGGAGATGCCAAACAAGGTCTGGATTAATGGTAGGAATCAAGGTTTTTCCCAGTCAATTGGCTATGAAAACATGCCGAAGTATTGTTCATCTTGTCTCCATTTAGGGCATTCACACTCTAAATGTCTTAAGAGGCCTGATAATAATGGACAAAACTTAAATAAAGAGAAATGGGTGCAGAAAGGTGGTAAAGAGAATGGAATTATTACAAGATACACCAGGGAAGAAAAAGGGAAAACAAGTTTCAGAAGATCCTGCCTCACTCAAGCAGTCCACTTCTAAAGCAGTCCAGGGGGAGATACATGAGAAGAGTGTGTCTGATGTTGAGGAGGTCCTCTTGGTCTCCATAGACAATGAGCAATCTGTTGAGAAAAAATTCCATTTTTGATCCCATGACTATTATACCACTTCAACATTTAATCCCTTACTTTCAGATTGTCCACATTTAGTCCGTGACTATTATCCCCTCACCACCCCTCGTCCTTCCGGCCAAAATTCCGGCAAATTTAATGCAGATTTTAGGTATGAAAAACCAAATTTAATGCAAAGATTGATATGAAAAACCCAACCTGATACAAAATTTAATTCAAAGACTGATTCTGAAGCTGAGAAGTGGACTAAATTTACCGGAATTTTAGCTGGAAGGACGAGGTGTGGTGAGGGGATAATGGTTACGGACTAAATGTGGACAATCTGAAAGTAAGGGACTAAATGTGGAAGTGGTATAATAGTCATGGGACCAAAAGTGGAATTTTTTCTTTCATCTGTTGAGGAAGGAAGAAGGACAATTAAAGAGTTATTGGATTCAGAGATTCCAGGGCTCAGCATATCAGATCCTACGGTTATCGAGGAAGCTCATGATGATACTTACATTAAAAAGATGAACAAAGCTTTTGATGATGACCAATCATTGGGGTATAGGGAAGTGTTATCAGATGGAGAACATGATATTCTGGTCAACCTGGAAGCTTTTATGAATTTATGGCCTGTGATGGAGTATTAACTCCTAGATTCTAGAGAGAAGGGAGAGCTAAAGACAGAAGTGAATTGTATTAATGATTTTTTTGAACCCTTACAACTACTCCCAAGGGGAGTATTTATAGAGAAAATTAGGGCTAGGCTCCCAAGTCTTGGGCTTGGGAGGCCCATTTACAACAGGGCCACTAATGGGCCGGATACAAAGTGTATAGAAATGATAAGTATAAAATCCTGTTCTAGAGGTTATCTATGGTCGACGAGGGCATGGCCGATGAGGGCATGGCCGAAGAGGTCACCCGGTTCTCCTGACTTCTGGATCATATTCTGAGTGGCCTTCTTTCTGGCCGATGAGGGCATGGCCGATGAGAGCATGGCCGATGAGGGCACCCGGTTCTCCGGGCTTCTAGATCATATTCTGAGTAGACCTTTTTCTGGCCGATGAGGGCATGGCTGATGAGAGAATGGCCGATGATAAGTCCGTATTTAGACATGCATTTGATGCGTGTTGGGATCGGGTTTGATAGTTTTCCCTATCTTTAAGGTGTTACAAGTCTCAGTTTTAGCTCAAGTTATGTTTACCGGGCGTTGGTTCGAGTTTTGTGGTATTTGGAGTCAAAATCAGGATTTTAGAGTTCGGCACTAGCGCTTGAGGAGAAATCAGGATGAGTTGAAAAGCATTTGAGACTGATTTGAGAGCTATGGAGGTCAGAGGGAGGTTTACGATGAAGATTTGATGACAAAAGAGCTATAGGATTGACTTCGGGATCAAAAGAAGATGAATGAAGCTTGAAAACGACGATCAAGATGACCTTTTGTCAATCATTCAAGAATATCACTTTGTAGAAACAATTAATGGACATGATTCAAGTTGTATATGAAAGACAACTTCAAGGGATACAAATCATATGAAGACACCATTATGAGACTAGGAGAGCAAGGAGGTGAAAACAGATGACGAAGTCAGATGATCTCTGCTGCGATTTCAGAATGACACCTTCCACCGTTTTGATCATATCTCTTGATTGAATGATTCAAATCACATTCAGCAAGTTGGAGT